CCCCAAAACCCCAAAACCCCAAAACCCCAAAACCCCTAAGCTCATGTCAAAAGTTGAAACTTCCCGTGTTGCAAAAACGTTAAAAAGATAAATATTAAATTATAGCTGGAAATTTGGTGGGCCTTACCAGCCTGGCTGAAGAGATAGAGCAAAATCCTGGCTCTTCCTCTCCTCATACTCTTCTTTCTGGTTGAAGAGATGGTTACTAGTCATGTCATAGGAATACTCTACATTATGATTAGGACTATCCATAAGGTGTTGCTTGTCGAAACTATTAGCTGGAGATCCCCCTAAGGCAGAGTCGTCATCAACATAAGAGTAAAACCCAGCTCGTTGAGAACGGCTGCTATCTTCCAATCCATTTGTCTCTGGAGTGGTTTCCCGATTCTCAATTTTTACCGATGCCAAACTTTGGATAAATTTCTCGATCAGATCTGACTGCTCTTGATACTTTTCAGCAAGCTGCTTGTAAAGAGTCACCTCGCTATGCACATACTGAAAGCGGAGGTTAATCACACCATTACAGGTCTCGTCATAGCCATCCTTGTACTCTAGAGCCATTTGTTTGCACTCCTGATCTTTCATATGATTTAGGAAGAAAGTTTTGGATTTGCCTATCTGGTCTCATTTATTCTTATCTTTCTTAGTCCTGAATAAATTGACAGTGATAGACCTCTCCTTCTCGACTCAATCTGCATCATAAATAAGGGTATAAAACCGGTGCCACTCAAATACACCTTCCAAGTTTGGAGCGATAGGAATCTGTGTGGATAATACTAAACTGTTCTGGGAAGTCACTGTATCTCTACCTGGTTGTACCACTGACGAATTCAAGCTAATATCTTGCGGAGCTTGGCTGAACTTGCCAGAGCCTTCTCACGAGCCATAGAAGGACTGCATGAGCCCTCTATCATTCTGAATGACTTCCACGAAGGGGACCTTCTTCGCCTTAGTAAAGTCTATATCATGACCAGAGATAATCTCTATAAGTAGTTTGGGCGGACTCTTAGAGTCTGGCTCAGCCTCTTGCCAGAGTTTGGTATATTTTTCAATATTTTCCTTAGACTTTTCCAGCAGAGCTTCCATTTCTTGGATGATCGACCTCCGTTCTTCAGCCCGGATCTTCAATTTCTTATCATTGATCAGATCAGTGAGCTCCACATTATTGGGAAATGGGTGAAAATGCCTATCGTTCTTGGTACTCACCTTGTGATTCACAATATTGGAGAAGGACCGGAAGGGGGTCTTGACTGTGCTATCATTCCGAGAAATCAGTTGTTTGGCTATCTTATTCTTCCTTTCTACCCTTTCGTATGCAGTGACGTTGCTTCCGGTAAGGCATGTTCAATACTTTGAGCCCATATTTAATATTACTATTATTTCAACTTTGCATGAGTAATTTGGGGTTTTGGGGTTTTGGGGTTTTGGGGTTTTGGGG